ATTGATATGTCTAAAAATACAAAACTTATACAGCCTGTCTCACTCAAATTCCAATTATGAAGTAATCAGATAATTAGTCAACCATTCTACTCAAACCGGCTGCTTCATCTGCCATTGTGCGCGGCAACAACCCAACAACAAGACACAAACACAATGGAGATGTAAATTATGCAAATGTTTTAGCATAAACCTGTGCTTCTAGTGCGTATGTGTGTATCTAAAATTACCAATGTTGGAATATATGAATGTATGTTTCTTGTGTGTATTTTCACGTCTCTCCGCGTACTCTCAATAAGAACTCTGAGAACACGGTTGCCTTGAATGACAACCTTGTGATAGTTCTATGATTATTATAGTAATAGATGTAAAAACAGAGGGATACATCAACCGGAATATGTCCCGTGGGTGACGGCGCTGAGCTGAACCGACCCTCCTGCGGTGATAAAATGGCAGAAGCTGGTGCCGCTGGAAATCACCTTGTGTAATTATAAGGACAGGCTTGATGTGCAGAGCTTTTATTGCTCCGTCTCTGCTTAGTTCTCTTTCCCTTTTCACTGCAACCTCCAAACGTCACCGTCTTCTTTGCCCTTCTGTCCTCTCTGTGCTTTTCTCTTCTGCCTACCTTTTTTTTTTTTTTTTCTTGTTGATATCTCCAGCTTTTTATCTCGCTGTTTTTGCGTCACAAAGAGCCCCGCTTTTTTAGTCTGAGCCGATAGAATATGTGCAAGATCGATGTCCATCCTGGACCTGGCAGGCTAGTGTGTGTGTGTGTGTGTGAGTGTGAGAGACACTATCCTGTTTGAGGTTGCGTATTGAAGGTCACTGGCCAGGCTTTGTGCACTACAGTGACTCACTGATCAATAGCAGTGACCTAGCTGCTGTCCCACTTCACACTGGGCAGAGAGGCACCACATAAAGGCTGCTGTGGTAGCGGTTTGAAGAGACTGGTCACAGATGAGGTTGGAGTCGAAGATCAACTTTTCAGAATTCTTTATTGGACATGAATCATGGGAGGAAAATTACAGCTTGCTAGGCTGCAGGATTTCTTCAACTAAACTAAAAAGTTACACGTTCTTTATACCTCTCCGTCTACACACAGGTGGGGGTTGAGACATACATTATTGTCTGGCACCCCATCCATACATTGGATGTTAACTAATCTAAACCATATGTTTGAACATAAAGGTCAAGTAAAGAAATGAAGAACCCTGGTACCCCAGCCCTTAGTCTCAATATTTATCAGGGCTGACCCCTGGGTCAACAAAACATCAACTTATAAGTTGTGTTGAGAATGTACATATGCTGCTATAATACTACGTACGATGTTATCAATCCTAACATGTATATACAGGAGATATAAAATATCTCCACACTGCACAGACACAGACATGCACTGTGCAGCAGCGGCACAACAATGATGAATTGCAAGAGGCCTGTAACGCATTGCGTTTCTTCACAATATCATCTGCTACTCACCTGTATTGGGGAAACCACCCGGAAGAACAAGTACGTCCCAGTTGCGTACATCAAACGGTCATCAAAGTGTTTTATCCCCCACTGACAGGTCTTTAAAAAAATATTGGATATTAAGAATCCAGAGATGTCAGTATTTAATTCCCACAGTCCACCCACACACGTGTTTTCTCTCATGTTGCCTGATTAGACCTGATTCAGACACCGCCATCATTTTTATTAGTTCATTGAGATTAGAAATGTTGTTCCTTTCATAGTTCATTTCACAGTTTGTCTTGTCAATACAGGAAAAGCACAGGTGTCACTTCAAATATTAACAATGGATCAGATCTCTTCAGCTGTCAACTGCCAGAAAGCCATGACAGCGAGCCATCATACCAGGGCTGCTGTTGAATAGTCTGAGGGAGGTTCCTACCTGAGTGTAATGATGAGGAAATGTCTAAATGGCAGCCGCTATAGGAGATGCTTGAATTCTCTAAATGCTAAAGGAAAGGTTCTTCAATGCTTCCTTTCTTATTTCCTTTATCATGGGATACACTGGTCCTTCCTTTATGAAAGGGATGGAGATAATTCTGTCCCACAATTCCTTGTGGCCACATTTAAAGCGACACGGCAGAACCACGTCAAATGCAGCAAGATTCCCTTCGTTGTCTGTTCCTTACTCCTTGTGAATTCTTCTTCACGTCTTTCTTTGACGTGAAGAAAGACCTCATGATGTCTTTCATCGAGGTCAAGGAAAAGTGGTTCAGAAAACACATGGAACGTCATTTTTATTTTACTATTTCATCGCAGCCCTGGGCCCGGAAGCCGCTGAATAGAATTCAGCCATCATTAATTGTATAATTCACACCTGCGCTAAGAGCAATTAGTCAGTAACTGAAACACCTGTGTGGTTGTGCAGCCTTTTAGCTACTGGAGTAACGGCGAGCTAAAAAGCCAGCTCTCACTGTTCTGTAGTCGTTCCTCTAGACATGTCTTGGCGAAGTTACTCTGGCTTTAAATTTGAGAAAACTTACCAACAACTCAAGTTTTTAAATTTACAGTAAATATGTAATTTATATATTAGCACTTAGTCTTTTGGGGAGAGGGGATATCGCTTTTTGTAATGCGTGTTTGTTAAATTGTAGAAACAGTTGATACCAGAATCTGATGCATACTTAATTAAGTGAATCCTGCTGTCACACTGATTTGTAGCAGCCCTGGAAAGCTCTTTCTATAATGTAATATTGTCTGCCGTTTTTTTTTTTTTTGTCTGCATAAGACATCCCAAACACCAAAAATGGCCTAGAAATTGCCAGTTACACTTCTGATGGATGTTCCTTTTGAGTCTTTGTGTAAAATACATCCGGATGACAGCGCTGTATAGTCCTGTGTTTTGTCTTTGAAGACAAAACAGAACATGCACACTTGTTGAAAGATTATTAAAATATTCATTTAGAAGTAAAACACCTCCGAAATAGATTTCAGTAATTGATGGGCATATTGTGTCTTTTTTAGTATCTATTGAGGTGGTATATGACAGAAACATGGAAGTAATTGAAAAGTCTTGGTTTTATATTCTTGGAGATAATTATGCGAGTGATTGAGTGTTCTGCGGTCCTCATTACCGATTACACGTACACACTGATGATTCATTCCCCTCTAAGACAGCTGCGAGACACGCTGCATGATAATGAATAACTTCTACTCAGTGCCTGCTAAGGAGGGCCAGTCTTTTCCATCATAGGTGAGCTCTGTACGACAGGAAATTAAGCCTTTGAGGCAGAACGGGCTTCGACAGCTCGGAAGCAGAGGTTTTCTATAGTTGAGATGTTTGAGTTTGGCAAGAAAAATGTCACGCTGAATGGACCTGTAATCAGTGGTGTATAGTAACGAAGTAGAAATAATTCGTTACTGTACTTAAGTCGTTTTTTTGGATATCTGTACTTTACTTTACTGTTTACATTTCTGTTGACTTTTACTTCACTATATTTTGCAAAGAAAACTGATACTTTTACTCCGATACATTTCCCCTGAAACCTTCCGTTTCTCGCTACAAAATCAAATCTATCTTTAGAAACAAAATGAATCATGAGACCAGCGTCGGGGACTGTGGTGGAACAGAGACTGCAAGCAAGCAGGTTTGGTGAATCAGTGGTCCTAGCTTGCAAGTTAAATCATTGGTTAATCACGTTAATGCGCAAAACAAGTGCTCTCAAAGCCGCGGTGTTTTGATTCCCAGTGATGCTATATGCTATAGCTAGCAAGCAACAACACACACAGGACGGGTGGGATGAGGAGAGGTGGATGGGTCAAACAAACACTGGCGTTTCCTCCAGGAGGCCGCAGTTTGTGCCGTGCGTGAAACGAGAAGCCAATGTTGATTTATTTGTGACGTGACTTCCGTACTTAAGCAACGCCACTTCCGTAGATATTTTAACGCAAACCACGATCTTTTCCTAAACCTAACTAAGTAGTTTCATCGCCTAAACCTTAGTTGTTTCCTGTGAAGATGGAAGTTTATTTTGAAAAGACAGTATGCATGTAACAAGCGAAAACTGACTCATGTTGCTGGACTTTTGCAGGAAAAACGCACGAAAAGTGAGGAGTAACTTTCGTAAGATATCAATAAAACGGGGATGAATTTATATCATTGTATAAAGAGAGTGACATGAGAAGATCAATCTCATGTCTAAGTTACATCAGCTATAATCACTCTTTTAAAGTGATTCGTGACTCGTCTAAAACATTTAAAAAAGGAATAACTTCAATAGAATCATTCTATACAATGTAGCTTCTTTACATTCTAATAGAATGTAAAGAAGCTACATTCTATTAGAATTGTCTTTTGAAGATGAACAGGACATTTTTCAGTTTCAAGTAATGACTGGGTTGCTGCTTTAGTATTGATCATGTTTTGATATTTGAGTCATTTTGTGGATGATCAGATGGAGTTATGATGGTAGCAGTCGCCCAATTGCAGTTTCAGCTTGAGCAAAACCTTTGCCTATTGTGTTCAAATCAGGCCCATAGGAGTTTACAAGGCATGTGTCCTTTCTCACAACACTGACCTGATGCATCAAGTGGATATTTTTTGCTGAACATAATATTATGCATTTGCCCTCTACATCCTCTAGTCGGAATGAGCATACTTATAAATGCACTGTTACAACTCCTTCATAGCGTCGTATTGCTTTTCGGAGAATTATGATGATAAGTTCATAGTGGATGCAAAAGTATACTTATGTACAATATATTATGTTGAACATTGTTGCTCCTGGATGGCTCACAGCCAACCCAATTATTGTCAACACAGCTCCATGTCCTTGGTCATGGTGGCCACAGCACTTAAAAGAATCAACTTCATAATTCTCATAATTCTGACCCTTTGCTTTTTTATTAACAGCATTTACTTGTACTTTTACTTTCAATACTTAAGTACATTTAATATCAGAAAATTAATTTTGATACTTAAGTACAATAAATATCAGATACTTTAAGACTTTTACTCCAGTAAAAGTAAAAGTCACCTATTAGAATACTACTTGAGTAATTTTCCAGTAATGTATCTTTACTTTTACTCAAGTATGGCTTTTGGGTACTTTATACACCACTGCCTGTAATTGATGGTACCTCGGTGTTTACACACAGCCGGCGCAGATTTCTCAGTTCTTCTCACTGTACTCTAGTCTGTGTCCCAGTTTAAACGCTTTTATTTAGTCGTGTGTGTGTGTGTGTGTGTGTGTGTGTACAACAGGTGGCCATGTGTGTAAAGACAGTTCTGTGCTCCGTCTTTTGAGCTTAATGAGTTAATGTAATATCTTCCTGCAGAATTGCAGAGTTGAGCTGTGGATGTGTCCATTTATTTTCTTGCCGTTTCCCTTAAGGACCCGGTTCCCGGTGCTTCGAGGCGCCTGCAGTCTTGACCAGATATCTATGATGTAATGAAATCTATTATCACATTACTGTTCTCCAAACAAGCACGCGCTATCCTTCCCGCTGACATTGGATTAGGGAACATTGTGTATCTAGATCATTTCTATGTTAAATATGTGAGCATGCACGGAAAACACACGCAGTATCAACAGAAAGGAGTGTTGTTGTTGGATCAGGGAGGACTGTGAAGTTTTAAAATGTATAGCCATTAAGTCAACATAGTGTTGTAGAGGGGGGAGGAAGGTGAGCTGAACTCTAGATCACCTGCAGATATCGAGGCCACAGCGAGGAAAGCTGATTTAAACAAGATGCACTACAAAAGTAGCTCTTTGTTTGCTCCAAGTACAACCTGAACTACAGTATAATACTAAATGGAAAAGAAAAGAAATATTCTTTTAATAAATTATGAATATCTATCCCTAATATCTTTGCTTGACTATAATTACTTCATTGACTTTTAGAGAGCCCCAAAACTGAATGAACACGATGTCTCACTGAACATGATGTTGTTTTCTGGGTTACACAGAGAGATGCATCATGTGTCCTTATTAACAATTACATGTTGGCCTTTCTCAAACTCACCACTTGCCAGGCCACAACTTAATAGTGTTTCCTCTCCTTATCTTTCCTCTCTCCTTGGTGTCTTGTGTTAACATCTGCCGATCTGCTGGAGGCTCCGAAACTCAACCTTGCTTTTTACGCTCAAATCAACCAGTGTTGTGGCAAACACTGTAGAGAATGGGAACAATGAGAGGCCAAAGTGAAGCAGCTGATCCTCTCTCTCTCTTTCGCTGAACCCCCCCCCCCACCTTCCTTTTAATGAAAGGAGCCATTGTCTCTGGCCTGGATTGAGCGACTCACACAGTACTTTTCCTTTTGAGGTCTTACAACTTTTGCCTGCTTGGATATAAAGCGATTCGTTCCACTTGTGTATTTACAGTAGTCACTCACACACTAACACTCTTTCAGACAAACGCGCACAAGCCGAGTCGCAACAAACGCGTAACGCGCGGCCACACACATGTGCACAGCCACTCCAATCAAACCGGGCTGACACTCGAACATGCGTGATGTGCGAGTGTCCGACAGCTCCGGTGGGTTCAGAAATCTCAGATTCCAGGCCCTCTTAGTCTGCTGGCCACCCAGCAAAGCCCCACCTCTCCCTACCTCAGCTGCCCTGCTTCTCTTTTTACCGGTTGCCTAACTCTCTCAGACCAGCTCCGATCACCGACCATTAGTCTCTTGCGTTGCTGGTGACCGATCAGCACCGAGGAACGTGTCCTTGACCTCTGCTTTCTCTCTGGATGGGACATGTAAACGTAGAGCATGTACCAGAGTTGTCAGGTTTGGTGTCTTTTTTTTTTTTTTTTTTTTTTTTTTTTTTTAAAAGAGGTTTGAGGTCATTGGGTTGCTGAACAAGCTGGACCGGACCAGGAGAACCTGTAGCCATGGCTGAATTTCAAGAGAGAGCCAAGGTGGCCACCCTGCCGTCCCGTTCATGCACGAGCGTACCGGGGACTGGCCGGCTGCAGAGACGGATGGCTTTGTGCAGGATGGAGGACTTCACCTTTGACAGCTTTGAGCTGCTTTACAGTGGAGCTGTCGATAAGATGAAAAGCCACAAAAGTAATCTCAACGTCAGTAAGTTTGTCGGCTTCAAAATCCGGAATTTCAACTATATTGTACTGCAAACAAATAAGATGCTGAAACTTCTGTACATTAGCCAGCCTTGTTTGGCAACCACACGGTATACGCAGGTGGTACAGTAGACTTCTGTTTTTCATTTGATCAACCTCAGAGACATGTACAAAATAACCCAAATTCATGTTTGTCCAACTAGAAATCTGCCACAGTGGTGAATCCCGGTCATAGAAACTGCAGACCCCCTCAGCTGAGCGGTAAAACCAGGGCACTGAGGATGTTGTCTGTGTCTAGATGGTTCAAGAAAACTTGGATGATAACGTGCAATACTCAACAACTTTCAAAATATCTCTCATATGACACTCAGCCATGTCGGTTGCCGCGTGCTCGTGGCACCGTCTTCGTCTTCTGACTTTAACCTTATCTGATACTGAATGTGCCGTACTACACAAACCAAACCTCCTCCGATGGCAATTATCTACCCTCAACATCACTTGTATTTTCTGCTGCATTCCAATATTTATCAGCAGATAATAATATGTGTAACTCTTATCAAATGTACGTTTTTTTGTTGTTTTTTTTTTGGCATTTTTCTTCTCCGACATTACAGTTTGATGGAAAGCCTGCATGGGAGAGAAGGTCATCTCCTGGCATGGTATTCAGCTAATCCTGTGTCTGTGTCGCTGATTACTAGCCTTCATAATGGCCAAAGAGACCCCGTGATAGGGGGTAACCCAAGATGAAGATTTATATATAGATGTTGGCAATCCAATTTTAGAAAGCGAGCAGGCATGTTGACGGTATTATTAACATGCCATCTGATGGAGAGGGCCTCTGTGGGACAGGAAAACGATTGTGTGTGTGTGTCTGACACACAAAGCACCTTGTGTCACGCTCGTGCTGTGTGACACATCAAACACAGGAGTATGGACTGAGGTGTCTCTGGCGTTTGGAAGGAAGGAAACTATGTAGAGGAAAGGGGAGGAGAAAGGATGAAGGAGATGTGTATACATAGAACTAATTGCACAAGGTGAAGGGAAGGAGAGACCTACAGTATGGGGGCAGGACTTTGGGGGGGGGGGGTATAAGTATAGTGCACCTAGTAGTCACTATTTAGAGCAGCACTAAAATAGTCACTGTATCACAAAACATTTAAAATGAATTTTTGTAGCGTGATTAATCTGCTGTGTGTCTGTCAACCAGAGACTGAAGTAACTGAACCTGCACCGATCAATATCTGTACATCAACAATGGACGACATGATTATGCAATATGAAAGGGGTCCCTTGTACTGACGGCCCCCATGGGGAATAATCCCCCGACTCTGCGGTGAGCTTCAGCCTCACGAGAGTTATTGCGTCTTTTAGGATCATTGTTTTGCTTTCATGGCCCACAACTTTACTGTTTTTGCTTCAGTCTCGCTACTTTCATCAACCTTGTTCCCATCTGCTGAGGCAGCTGTTTTCAGCTGTGATAGACCCAGCACCAAATAAAAGAAGTTAGCAGCCGGCTGTTGAATATAGTGGAGCATTTAACAGAAGATTACTGACAGACTATATTCCTGTCACCCTTCACTTGCCACAATACTTTGTGTCTGCGTTCAGTGCAGAATAAACCACTGATCTAGTTCTGCCTACACTACCCACAGTGCATTGCTGCCGCTGTTAGTCATTTGTCTAAGAGGTTTACGGTTGACAGTGGAGAACCTGGCACAGGGCAACATAGGCAGTGCTAAGCTGCTTAGCAACCTTCAGCCGGCCTCTCGCTTACGCACCGGCTCTCTGTCTTGTTTACACACACACGCACACACACACCGTACCATAAACGCATTCCTATGTTAGCAGACGAGGAGACAGGCAAACGGAGCTGGTGTAGGGGAAATCCAGTGTATGTTTTCTCCGCGAGAGCACACAGTGTTGTTTGCCGACTCTTCAGCTGCAGGAGGCGCTGCCACTGAATGTTTTATGAGCGCTAACGGGAAGAGATAAAGGATGAGTGAGTTATGAGATTAGGTGATGAGAAAGAGAAACTGGCAGCTACGTTCTTGATATATGAATCCCCTTCTGTCTGTGTGATGAAATGATCTCAGGAGGGAGGAGGGAGGGGGGTGACATACATCTTCCTTTGCAGAGGCTGCGTAACCCTGCTTTCATCACTTTCCTCACTGTTAGTTTGGTCCCTTCGAAGAAGGAGGGTACTGCTGGTTTAGGTCATGTTTCTCGTGTTGCAGGTATTGATCTGAAGTGTTTTACGGCAGTGTTCTTGTGCTTCCTTTATCAATACCATATGGTGTTGTCGCCCGGCACAATTTCCTATAAATCCTCAGCATGATGCCGTTTCCATTAGACCCTTTTCACGGCAGACAAAAGCAGCAAAAGCACGGTTGTAAATAATAACATGAATGATGGCTCCATTCCATCCAGGTGAGCCAGTTCTATTTACACCTGTGCTTGTACTAGCCTGTCTGTTGTGAAAACAGATCTGTTAAAGTGGTACCTCACAAGTTCTGTTTGTAAGGAAGTCAAGAGGTCTGTGTTGTGTTTTACTGTATGTGTGGATGTCAGTTTGTGTGTTTTGAGAAGGATGCGCTTTTGTGTTGCTCCTCATTCTTTGGGTACATAAATGTATGCAGGTCTTCATTCATTTGTACCTCTTCATGTGCACACACTTTTTCGAATTTGTTTTTAAAATTGCTTCATCTCCTCCAATATTCATGTGCCCCTTTAGTCAGGGACAATAGACTGAGAGAAAACACCGCTAATGTTGCACCCCGGGCTTAGCAAGCCCTGATACCTGAACCCACTTCATGCTGGGAGCTGAGAGACGAGGGGTGGAGTGGGGTGGGGGGGCGTGAAGGTGATGATGGAGTAGAGGATTTTTTTTGTGTCTCCAGTTATATGACTTCAAACTTGATTCCACTTAGAAGAATTATATTGTTTTATAGATCAGATTATCTGTGGGTAGTGTATCTGACATGCTGCATGACATTTTCCACATAATGTTTGAATTATTGTGGATGCATGTGAAAAATGCGTGATGCTGATCTCCAGCGTTTCGCGTTGTGTGTCTTCCAGAGGAGGAGCTGCGGAAGCTGCGGGAAGAGACCAACGTGGACTCTCTGCGGCAGGAGCTGGACAGGGAGCGAAGCAAGAGGATAGACCTGGAGCAGAAGATGAACGAGGTGCTCAAGACCAGGTGAGACTAAAAAAAAAAAGGACAGCGAGCGGAGTCGAGCGCATGACGTGGGTGTCGGGAGACGAGGACGGGGAAGTGATAGTGAGGGAGCGACTGGAAACGGTGACACTGCACTTAACATTAACAGCTCAGTTCAGCAGAGTTTATCAGAGTTCAAGTTGTATGCCGTGTGCGTGAGTGATTATAAATAGAGGCCTCAGCAGCTCGGTAGGCGGGGAATTCCATAAGGAGTTGTGTGCTTTGAGGGAGATGGTGAGAGAGAACAGAACAGAAACGAGTCATGCGCCTCTCCGTGTCGCCAAGTGCACACTGTGACACAGTAGCCCTGCTGGTGTCAGGGAAAGCCTGCGCATCTTGGCACCGAGTGAGCCACCCTTAAACCCAGGGTGTGTATGTACGCCTCTTGAGTGCGTGTGTGAGATCAGACGATGCTTCTGTGCCGGCCAATGGGGAAATTCCACTGGTGCTCTCTCCGTGTGATTATCGGCACAGAAAGAGGTAAACTAATGCACCCTGACCTGGGAGTTTTCTCCAGGTAATCCTTTATCAGCAGTATCCAGTGGAGAGAAGTAGGTGCTCTTTTGTTGTGGCTGGCATCCAAGTGTTCTCGAGCAAGGCAGTAGAGCTTGGTGGCCAAAATCAAAATAGTCTGGTTTCACACACACACACACACACACACACACACACACACACAGTAAATTGGTTTGAGTGGAGCAATGTCAGGCTGGAGAGAGGAACAGAATGTAACGAGTTGGAATTCTTTCTGATATCAGGCAAGCAAGTTCCCTGTACATGCAAAAAAGGTGAAATTTGTGTCTACAGACAAGCATCAGTCAACAGACTTTATGTTATTTCACACAAACTTACCAGGAAATTATAAGGGAATTAATAAACCATCTAATACGCCTATTTATTTATGGCAGCACAACTGATCATTCATCCTTTTTTTTTTTTTTTTTTTTCTTTTTTTTTGCTTCATTTCATACACATGCGTAGACTTGGCTTGGTTCAGATCAAATGGAAGAGTAAAGCTAATGTGTGGACTCAGAGTAGGCTTTTTTTTTTTTTTTTTTCTCACTCTTTGTTTTCATATCATCCCAGAACGTTCTGTTTTTGTTGGCACCAGTGATTGTACCAGTGGGTTACTGACTTCATTGAGACTGAAGTTGTTTCTCCTCAGTCTGTCTCTACCCACCTATGTGTCTATCTAACTCCTCCCACAGCAGATGTATTCAATGCAACAACTCACCACATCTTAAAACATAAACTGCCTGAGACATGCACTTGACAACTCTTTCCTGTTCTCTCTCTTTCTCCCCCCTCCCCACACATACACAACACACACACACACACACACCAGGCTGGAGGACTCTCCGCCACTGCCTCCCCGGAAACAGCAGTCGCCCTCCAACAATGGGACAGGTAAGTCCCTGGTGGAAGAGAAGGGAGCGTGAGAGAGAGGATGGGGTGAGTGGGAGTCCAGGAAATGAGTTGGGAAGAAAGATGTTGACATCTTCCAAGCACGTAGGAGTAAATCAAGAGGGCTGCTTGTGCGAGTGCGTGCAGGGGAGGCGGGGATGTAGGATATGTGCGGTGGAGCGCTGTCGGAAGTGCTCAGGTTATTTGTGTGTGTGTGTGTGTGTGTGTGTGTGTGTGTGTGTGTGCGCGCAGCAAACAGAAATACACACTTACTCTGTGCTTTCTGGTGTGCAATTAGCGGTAGCAAGCAAGCGAAAACAAATTGCATTAATAAAAACCAATTCCACTGGGGACGTTAATTGATGTCATTACTGCAGAACTGCAACGTCTGTGCCATAAGGATGTTTTGCGGCGCGTGTTTTCTAAAAGACGTCAGCGAGGGGAGAGGGGAGCTCATTAATGCAGCAGTCGTCAGATGGTGTTTCTGAAATGTGTGCGTTAGGGCGTGTGTTTTCGATAACATTCGTAGTTTGAGTTCCAACGACACAGTGAGGGAGGGAGGGAGACAGACAGACAGACTAATTTTGGAAAATGGGTTATGATTGTAGTTCACATCATCTAGGGCAGACAGGACTGTGCTCTAACTAGTGTCGGAGGTGTGTGTAAGTGTCGGTGTGTTTTCAGGATGGATTAAGAGAGTGTGTGTGTGTGTGTGTGTGTGTGTGTGTGTGTGTGTGTGTGTGTG